ACATGATCGCCTAAGCGTGTATCAAGTATGGCAGATAACTGACTACTACACAAAGATGTGCAATAATCCAGACCAGAACAAGAGTGTGACAAGTAAATGAACATTTCCCCTTAATTATTTAAGCATGCATCAGAGATATATTTTGGAAAATGAACTTGTAAGTGATTGCATTAAACATAAACCGAGAAAATTTTAATTCTCTGCAATATTCAGATGACGTCCTTTTAATATCAGAATTATTGAATCTATTACAAATACTTAATTGATTTGAATTGCAAGGTCGGCTTTCAAAATGAACAGAAACGAAAAGTCATGTTTATAAATGATAACAGAAATAAAGAAACACAAATACTGTTAAGATAATCTATTTTTACGAATGAAACTTCTCAGAGTTCTGGATCATTCAGATGAAAGACTTCAAAGAACTCTTTGAGGTGGTCGGATAATATTACAAAGTGAAGTTCTTTCATCCGGGTATTTGCATTTGTTGGTTGGCGCCAAATTTATGGCGTGTTGACTGGCGAAGTCAGTTGTAGAAATCTGCTTCAGAGCAGTTCGTTTACAATCATTCGCTGACCTGAGATGTAAGTAAACTATACCACAAAAAACCAGCAACTCCCGACTAAAGTTATTCTGAAGTTTTCCCCGGTAAGCCTCTGTGTTTTTACCTTTTTAGTCACTGGCCACAATCAGTAAAGCTATAAAAAAAACCTTTTTCTTTACTATGAAACTTAGTTGGTATTCTTGTTCTCTTTATCTTACGTTTTTGTCGCACACGTGACAAATGATGGCTCGTCCGCTATTAAAAAGACAAATTTTTTTCCAAAGTTTTTGCCTTGTTTGTTTCCAATAAGTAAAATAATTTAATCAAACTGATATTTTTTTAAGACTTGCTATTGTGACCTTGATTAGTAAAAATGTCATTTTCTTTCTTTACCCAATCATGGCGAATCATTTGAAACTAAGAAAAATTGAATTATTACAACGTGCTACACATTAATTTAAATGAAAATACTGCTTTGAACAAAAAAATAAAATAAAAAAACGGAAATAAAAGAATTTCTCTAGCTGAAAAATTAGCTGAAGAAATTTTACATTCATATAACTGAGGGAGAATTTTATCAAAATAAATTGCATTTACAACTGAAACTTTAAAAATACAAGACTAGAATTGGAAAGATTAAAAATTTATAAAGAAAAATTGTAGTTGGAAAGATTAAAAATTGTGAAAAAAATACAAGAATCTCAAAATACCAATTCCTATTTTTGATTTTGATGCAGCAGAAATATTAGACTATTTAATTTACTAAATTTTCAATAAAGTCGGTGGACAAATATTTTGACAATTTGAAAAATAAGGAAAATTTAAAATAGCCAAGTCAATTCTGGCCAACTTCACTATAGACTGTATTGATAGATAAGGCAGATCAAATATATTCAGCTCTTAGTGTTAAAGATGTATCAAATTATGATACAATTAAAGCTGTTATTTTAAATGCTTATGAACTGTTGCCAGAGTCATATAGGTAAAATTAAGAAAATATTTAAAAAAATTTATAGAATTTTGTGGAATTTGCAAGAGATAACCATCTTCCTTAAGTACTAAGAAAATTGACTGTGACTTCGATAAATTCCATCAATTAATTCTTATAGAGTATTTTAAACAATGCATGACCCATGATTTATTAACACATTTTGGAGACAAAGATATTAAAAATATAAATGAGGCAGCAGTCGTTGTTGACTCTTACATTAACACATCAAAAGAATTTTCATGTCATGAGTAATTATAGGCGAAATGAAAATCATAAAAATAAATCAATAGATCAGTCAGTATCTCAGTGAATCTGTCATATTCTAAACCTCGTACGGGTGTTACGGCTTGTCAGAAAATAGTCGTTTCAATAATTCTGTTGAATTAGAATAAAAAAAACTGACATGTCCTTATTGTAAGAAAAAAAATCACATTATTTCTGATTGCTTGAAGCTTAAAAAGAAACGTGAAGCTGAAAGCTCATTTTATCGCCATGCTAAACCAAAGCTTTTCCCTCCAGCATTTCAAAAAATCCTGATAATCAGGATATTAAATCCAATTTCTTTTGCATGTATAAGCCCTTCTTGTCACAGGGATTTGTCCCTATTGATACTAGCTGTTTTAAACCTGTTAAAATTCTAAGAGATGCTGGTTCGTCTCAGACCTTGTTAAGTGTGCTACCATTATCGGCCAAAATTTTCGTCAGTGATTCAGTAGTATTACAGGGTGCTAAGCTAAGTGCCATTAACGTTTCACTCCATCGGATTTACTTATTTTGCTCTAACAAAGTGGTTTCCCTATTACTTGGCAATGATTTGGCTGGTGGGAAAGTTATGGCGGATACTATTCTCAGGCATTACATTTTAATAATAATTGGGATTCGGAAAATCAATACATATCCTGCTTACAAGAGCAAGATCTAAAAAAATGATGATACAGAAAATATATATTCGGAGGAATTTATTAAACTGAATAAAACATTTGTCTCATCAGTCTGAAAAAAGGAGTTGGAAATTAGAAATATTCAAAATAAAAATACTGTCTCCTCTCAAAAATCTAGAAAAGAAAAATGGCTGTCTGAAACCACTGATATTAATTTGTTAAATTGTGTGTCAAAATATAAAGAGAAATTAAATAATTCTTTCAAAATGGCTCAGGAAAATTTAGAAAATTCCCAAAACAAAATCAAGTATGATATAAATACAAAAAGGAGAAATTTTAAACTCGATGACAAAGTTTTAGTATTTTTACCAAGTCCCGAGCAATTCTCTACAAACAATTTCGGTCCTTAATTAATAGGGAAAAAATAATGATTTGAATTATGTTGTTTACACCCCATGTCAACATAAAAATAAGAATATGCCATGTTAAGATGATAAAAATTACATTGAAAGAATTAACTTAAATATTAAACCAATCTGGAACTTGAGTAATACCAAAGTTTTGAATGCCATCAAGATGACAAAGATATTTTTAATAATAAAGAACTTAATGAAGACAATCTTCCCTTTAAAAATGATGAAATTTTATGTCGTTTAGATAAGAAATTAAAAGTAAATAATTGTTTGACTTTCCTGGTGTTACGGGGAAAACTACTGCTGCTCAAAATTTTACCGTTAGAGATGCAAAATTCATCAAACAACATTCTTACCACTTGAATCCAATTAAACTTCAAAGTTCAAGAAAATAGATTCAGTATATACCAGACAATTATATTATTGAACTAAACAACAGTGAATGGAGTTCACCATGTATTATTACACCGAAGTCGGATGGATCTTACAGACTTATTACAGGTAAACAAATTAAATGCTGTGACCAAAACGGACACTTTCAATTCCCAAAATCGATGGTTGTATTGACAGAACTGTTACTTTCTTTTAAAAGAGATAAATATAATCAATAAAAAATCAAATAAATATCAGAAAAAAGTATTTCTCTATTGAAAGGAAATGTTTAGCATTGTTGCCCGCACTTCAATATTTTCAACTTTTTCTCGGTGTTATTCTTGTATACACTGATCAAAACCCTTTGATTTTCCTTCAAAAGATGTCAAAAAAAAAAAAAAAAAAAAAAAATCAAGGACACACAAGGTAGATTGTTCAAGTATACAATTTCCTTACTAATCACATTAAAAGGAAAAGACAATGTTATAACTGATACACTTTCTACAATTTAAAACTATACATTCTTGATCCTGATAAATTTCAATATCATAAAAATTTTAATTATAATAATGTCATACTTTATACTTTATTCTTTAAAATTGTTCAACATGTTATTTTATTCTTTGTAATTGTTCAAAATTTCAATCTTTTTTTCTGTTTTCAATGTTCATGTCTGTTATGATGTTGATTTGGGGTTAGTAGAGACAAACGCCAAATAACACGTAACAATAAAAAGGGTTTTAATAGGTTGGTAAAAAGGTACAGAAATCGCCTGAGCTCTGTCTATCTGTCTCCTCCCATGTCAACTGACATGCCACTATTTAAAAGTCTTTGTTCGAAGTTAGAGGGGTGGTAGGTTTCCGACACAACAATGTCAAACTTTTTTCTTCTGAGGGGAAGGTGTTAAGATTATCTATTTTTATGGATGAAACTTTTCAGCGATCCGGGTCATTAAAATCAAATGACTTCAAAGAATCTTTGACGAGGTAGGATGACGTTATAAAGCTAAGGTTTTCATCCGAGTATTAGTATTCGTTGGTTGGCTTCAAAATTAAAAGAGTTGACTGGCGAAATCACGTGTAGAACTCTGCTTCAGAGAAATCCGTTTTCTCACATTCGCTGACCCGACATGTCAACTATACTAAGAAAACCCAGCAACTCTCGACTGAAATTATTTTGAAGGATTTCTAACTTCTTACCGGTAAGCCTTATCGTTTTTTTTCCTTTTTAGCAACTATAATCACTAAATGATAATAAAACCTTTTTGTTTACTATGTAACTTAGTTCTTGTTCCCTTTATCTTATTTGTTTTGTCGCACACGTGACACTCACACATTACAGGAAATAAAACTGAAGGAAGTCCAGAAAAAATACGCTTTCGACGGATAACATTAAAAAATATAGAAAGCAAATAGAAAATGATCGAGAAGAATGAGTTTGCTAATCATAAAGACAATCATTCTACAGAAATGAAACATTAACGAAAGCAGTTGGCAACAAAGAAACGACGGTTAAATGAAAGAGTAATGCTCGGGTAAACTACTATATAAAAAGATGGCAATCTGGATGTGAAAACAGACTAAGAGAAAAATGGACTGATGAATTTTGTTTTGATAGCTTATTAATCCTTTTGTGGGTTATTTAAAGCCGGAACATATTTTTAGACTGTAATATTTTGTTTGTTTTTGGAGATATTGATTTTCAGATACAAGTCCGACTATTCGCCACATAGAGAAGAGGAGGAGGATTCGTACATTTACCAAAGGGATTTGCGCTTAAGTGAATATAACGGTCTAAGTTTACAACACATGGTATTCCCAAGAGGTCACCCATCCAAGTACTGACCAGTCTAGACATTGCTTAATTTCGGTGATCGGACAAAAACCGGAGTTTCTCCGTGATATGGTCGTACAAAAAATTAAAAAAAAACGGAAGTGGCTGTAGACATAGAAAAATGAAAGTATAACAAATAATGCAAAGGGTTCTCTGATTAGCTTCCAACAGATAGGAAATGCAGCAAGAAAATATGAGAGTATTTTGTAGGCCATACATATAAGTCTTTGACAAACATTGGTCTATGATATACAAGATCTTTCGCAATTGTATATAGTTACTAACACACAACATAAACAGCACCTCAAAAACATAGAAACAATAGTGGTGGCTATGTTTTTTTTGTAGCCGAAAAGATGCTCCACTTAACGGTGTTACTGTTCACTCTGAATCGGTTGTACTTTCCGCTTATGAGGCATTATTTTCGGAGCGTCGCTTGTATAATAACGTAGGAATTGCTTCATTCTCATGGAGCCATAAATAAATTTGTAAAGTGTCCTTTATTTCCGTATCAATGAATAGTGCGTCGGAGAATCATAAGACGATGGTTACACTTTTTACAGTCTTCCCCCTCTGAGTAATTTCAGGGTAGAAATCGAACATAAAAACAAAAGAGCCTTTAGAAACCAATATTTATTGAAATATTAGAAGGCCAAAAATTGTGGAGACTGCTGATAAAAGGCAATGCCAGCCGAGATGAATAGATTAAAACGAGGACAGAGGAAAGCGGGGAGGAATATTAACATTTTGTACCGAGAAAGGAAAATAAACGGGAAAATAATTCATTTAGAGGAGAGAGAGAAAGAGAGAAAGAGAGAGAGAGAGAAAGAGAGAGAGAGAGAGAGAGAGAGAGAGAGAGAGAGAGAGAGAGAGAGAGAGAGAGAGAGAGAAAGAGAGAGAAAAGAAAGAAAGAGAGAGAGAAAAAGAAAGAGAAAGAGAGAGAGAGAGAGAGAAAAAAGAGAGAGAAAGAGAGAGAGAGAGAGAGAGAGAGAGAGAGAGAGAAAGGGAGCGAGAGAGAATGAAAGAGAAATAAAGAGAGAGTACGGAAGCGATAAACTTAACTCAAAGAAAGGAAAATAGATTCAGAAAGAATGAATTATATAAGAAATAAAACATATTATAAAAATAAATTGTGAGTATGAGATGAAGCAAGATTAATCTATGTAAAGTAAAAAGTCAGTCAAGAAAATATTTCACATTAAAAATCAGCTGGTTGGTAATGAAAAACGAAACCTATAAATCTTCCAATGTTTGCAATTTAGAGATTACTGAACGTTATTAAACTGTAGTACAGGGTGTTCCAAAAGTCTTGCCATCTCCTACACAATATAATTTTCTATTTCAGATGGCTGATACAAGCCCCTACTGTTTAGAAAATAGAGTTAAAGTGACAAGACTTTCGGACCACCCTGTATAAAAATCTGTGGTCGGCACCGGAGTTAATGGAAATCGTTAGGCCGAATCAATATTTGAATGTTATATAAAGATATGATTTTGGTCGGTTGAATGTGGGAGCTGTTTATTTTGGAGGTTAAAACTCAATTTTATGGTTGAATATGCACAAGAAAAAAAAATTGAAAAGAAAAGTATTATATATATATATATATATATATATATATATATATATATATATATATATATATATATATAATATAAAATGTTAAAAGAGCTTTCGATATATTTGATATGTATATAAAATAATATGAATATTAGAAACAGGCTTTTCTTTTTAACCATTACAAATTATGTCAATTTGAACTGTTCCAATTTCATTGATATAAAATATTAGGACACAGGGTATAAAATCTTTTTTTACCATATTGTCAACAGCAAGTTCTTTATGAAAGTTGAAAGTAGATAAATAAAACAGAACAGAACATTGGTCTGTTGATTTAGAAACTGGATTCCGATATACAACATCTTATCAGGAATTTGGAAAATATAAAAATTTAAGACATGCTGATTTCTATGCACATATGTAAATATTGTTATTGAAATTCGCTTAAAACGCTATGAACTTTTATTCCAATCAACTAAATTTTGCACTTCATCACCGTTTTACTGAATTTATATAAAATCCTTAAAAAATATCACATTAGGACACAAAATGTAGTTAGATTTCTATAAAACTAAGCACAGTGACATATGAAATTTGTTTGTAAAAATAAACAGAAAGGAATTCAGAAAGCTTTTTTTTTTTTTTAGAAGAGTCGAACTATGAGAGTGTGAAGAGTTCAAGCAGAAGAAAACGTTAAATTCAAGAACAGAAAAAAATTACACGATTAATTAACATAAAGTCATTACGTCATAATCAACAAGAGGAAAATACATTATAAAACTTGTTACGTGAATACATAGCAACAATCGACAAAAACTCATGACTGGCTATTTCCATCGATACAAAAAAAAAAAAAAAGAAATAACTAATGTGAAGTACGAATTAGCACGCCCACATGAAGAATGTCTAATTACAATCAATACATTCAGTGGTTAAACAAACACAGTATAATTGCGCCAACTGCGAATTACACGAAATAGCGCGAGTTTCTTAACGCTAACCAACACAAGAGGAAATCTGGTTAATACTTACAAACAAAATACGCCACTAAAAAACTTTAAAAGAGATACAAAATTTAAGAGTTTTAAGCAGAAAAAAATTAAACACAGAATAAAATTTAGTTCAATTTATTTCATAAATAAAAATACAATATCAAACTGTCGCGTGAAAAAGTATTCCACCATAATATCTCACGATACCCGAAAATCTATATGAAACTTTGATAATAACTTTGTAAACCGAAACGCTGATCAGACGATAGTGGACAATGTTCCCAATTCTCTCTAGATAGCAGGATAATGGTCAAAAACGTAAAAGATTGGTGTTCAAGCAAATGGTCATGAAATGGGAGAGTATTGCCCCAAAACACATACATACATTATAACTAATTGATACATATTTATAGTCTAATATTTTATTATTCACTCTCCCACCAATATTATTTATGTTGACCTCAGTATACACTTTTATATTTATACATAATCTATCCCTGATATCGATCACATATCCGGAAATGTGTGTATATATATATATATATATATATATATATATATATATATATATATTAGTGTGTTTATAATTGTGTATTTGGGAGGCAATCCCTCTTTTATACAAGTTTTATTAAAGACAAATGACAAGGTATTGCGATGTAGCGTTTTCGTATAAGTTTTCTTTTCTGGACAAAATGCGTAATAAATTTTCCAAAGTGTTCCGCATATCCGAGCGATTTTGGCTATTCTATTAAGGATAATTATTATTTAATTTTTAGCTGTATGTGTTTATTTTAATTTATATAGGAATGTTTTATTATTTTTCAAAAAAGGTCAACAGATGGTACATATTATTCCTCTAAATTTAGACACATAGAAAAACACAGTAAAAAACGAAATCAGAACAAAAAAAAAAAAAGAAAAAACGAAAAAAGAAAAAAAAAAACGAAAAAAGGAAAAAAACAAGAGAAAAAAAGAGGGAAAAAATAGAGGAAAAAAACAAAGAATAAAACCACAAAAAACTATAAAAAAGGAAAAAACCCACACCAAAAAGGAAAAAAAAAAAAAAACACACAAAAAAAAGACGAGAAAAAAAATACAAAAAAAAAAAGGAAAAAAAAGGACACAAAAAAAGGAGAAAAAAAAAAAACACAAAAAAAGGAGAAAAAAGGCACAAAAAAGGAGAAAAAAAAAAAAAAAAAAAAAGGAAAAAAAAAGACACAAAAAAAGAGAAAAAAAAAAAAGGAAAAAAAAAGGAGAAAAAAAAGACACAAAAAAGACAAAAAAAGGAGAAAAAAAAACAAAAAAAGGAGAGAAAAAAGACAAAAAAAAAGGAGAGAAAAAGACAAAAAAAAGGAGAAAAAAGACACAAAAAAGGAGAAAAAAGACAAAAAAAGGAGAAAAAAAGACACAAAAAAAGGAGAAAAAAAAGACACAAAAAAAAAAGAAAAAAAAACAAAAAGAAAAAAAAACAAAAAAAAAAGAAAAAAAAAAGACAAAAAAAGGAAAAAAAAAAAGAGAAAAAAAGAAAAAAAAAAAGACACAAAAAGGAGAAAAAAAAAAGACAAAAAAAAAAAAGAAAAAAAAGACAAAAAGGAAAAAAAAAAAAAAAAAAGGAGAAAAAAAAAACAAAAAAGGAGAAACAAAGACAAAAAAAGGAGAAACAAAGACAAAAAAAGGAGAAAAAAAACAAAAAAAGAGAAAAAAAAAAGGAAAAAAAACACAGAAAAAAAAAAAAAAAAGGAGAAAAAAAAAAAAAAGAGAAAAAACAAAAAGGAGAAAAAAAAAAAAAAAAAAAAACAAAAAAAAAGAGAAAAAACAAACAAAAAAAGGAGAAAAAACAAACAAAAAAAGGAGAAAAAAACAAAAACAAAAAAGGAGAAAAAAAAAATACACAAAAAAAGGAGAAAAAAAACAAATACACAAAAAAGGAGAAAAAAAAACACAAATACACAAAAAAGGAGAAAAAAAAAACACAAAAAAGGAGAAAAAAACCACAAACACAAAAAAGGAGAAAAAAAAACACAAAAAAGGAGAAAAAACCACAAAAAAGGAGAAAAAAAAAAAAAAAAAAAAAAAAAAAAAAAAAAAAGAAAAAAAAACAAAAAAGGAGAAAAAAACAAAAAAAGGAGAAAAAAAAAAAAAAATGAGAAAAAAAATAGAAAAAAAAAGGAGAAAAAAAAGGAGAAAAAAAACACAAAACGAAGCAAAGAAAACAACAACAAGAAACAAAAATAAACAACAAAAAAAACAACAAAAGTCAAAAGAAACATCCTTGATAATGGTGAAAGGAATAGCCGAAAGCATTCGGATACGCAGATCATGGACATTTTTTACATATTTTATGTCTAGGAAATAAAACACTTACGCGGACAACAAAATTATATAAAAAAAAATAATCTTCGTAACTTGTCCCTAGTTTTTAATTAAACTCGTGAGAGTGTGTGTGTGTGTGCGAGAGTGAGTGAGTGAGAGAAGGAAACATTAATTAATCCAGTTTTTGTTTGCAGCATAACCATTTAATAAACATG